CCCTTAAATTAGCTTCTAACTATTTATGGGCAATTACACTTTCTAAGATTCTTTTGCGTAGATATGAATATAACACTCAATCACAAATATACATCACCAAATCTCATCCCTACCACCGAAGGAATCCAATCCAAACCACTGAATTTTCACTAAACATCCATTATTACTAAAGCATTTAGGTGCAAAGCTATTTTTTTCCCCCTTAAATTAGCCTTAATTAATAGTATTCAATACTCTGACAATAAGCAATAAGACTCTCTTAAAATTTTTTGTTTACACTTACGATGTTCATAATTAATCACCAAATCTTTTACCTACCACCCAAATGAATCTAGACATTTGATGCTTCAACAAAATTAAATGCATTTTTGGTTTCCATCTATATAGTTTCCAAGTTTTTCATTTAGATTAATTTTTATCAGCTTGACCTAAAAAAATTAAAAAGAAAAATACTTAAAATTATATTATTTTCATAAAATATTATAAAAAAAAATTAAAACAGTTTTATTTTTATTTAAAAAATAGGCTATTTAGTCTTGATGAATTAATAATAATTATAAATGTGCTCCCATGTCTTGGATCTCCAATATGAACTAATTTCATTTTAAATTTGACTAATTGAGGAGCTAATAAACAATTAATTATTTTTTTGATATATTAGAGGGTTAGTTGCTTGGCATAACAAAAATTGAAATCTCTAATCTTGATTCAAAATCATGATTTTTTAATTAGTAGATATCATTTCACCCAAACTCAGTATAAGTAACAATTAATCTTTTTATTGAACATTCATATGATGATATTAAGCAAAAAGGGCATGCAGAAGTAAGCCATGTCAGATAAATTAACGGACTTTAACGGTGAAAATTAACTGAAGGTTTGATCTGCCAGATTAGGGGCTTATTCGCTGATTTTTCAGTTTATGGGCTTATATGCTCAAAAGAAAAAGTTAGGGGACTTAAGGAGTGATTTTGCCAAACTGAAAAAACAAATAAAACTTCTTGGCCCTTTTCTTTTCTATTGGGCCTCTACTTGGAAAGGGAAAAAACCCTCCTTGGGCCTTGGGCTTTGAGCCCTGGCGCATTGCTACCTCGCCGTAAATCAATTTCCAGACATCAGAGGTTAGCCGAATCCAAAGTTCCAAACACCTGGACAAGGGGGCTACCGAACTGTCACGTAGTGGAAAGCAGGTTCGACATTCAAGACACGAAATGTGCACGTGACTCTGATTATTACTTAAACATGTCCTAAAGCCGGGGATTTATTAGTCACGGGATTACCTTACCTTTGCTCTTGGAAGCTGTAGTTCATAGACATGTATCCACATAAAAAAATTGGAAGCTGTCTGAAATCACATCACTATAGGCTATACCTGAGTTACCAATTTTGATGCATTTTTTTTCCCGTCTTCAATTTTGATACATTGGATTTTCATTTTCTAGATATACTGATTACAGTAATTGTAATTTCAGTTCAAGGAGCAATCAGGTTTGCCAAGTGTGTGAGCAACATGACATCAATATCCCTATGGGGTATGACAGGGATCACAGACAAAGGTGTCAGTTCAATTAGTATGTATGAAATTCATATTAATCATTTAGATCTATGAAATTCCTAATTCCTTTGTCTTTAATGCTTCAGCATTGATTTTGTAACAGATTTCAAGAGCTAATTCCTTGCAACACCAGAATGTTGGGGATATATTTATGACAGAAGAATTATTACAAACCATTGCAGATAGCTGTCCACCTCTAAAGACAAGTTCTCTGTAAATTCACCTCTTCCGCTGAAATAGGGTTCTTTCTCTCGCCTTTCTGTTTACATTCTTGAATTCCTTGATATTAAAAGTAAATGCTGCTGTTCTCTCACCAAAGTAATGTCCTTTTGAGCTCTTTCGGCCAAAAAAAAAAAAAATGGTCCTTTTGAGCTACAGTCATGTTCCTGAAAGCGGGCTGCTTGTTCTTATAAGTAAATGTCGCAAACTCGAGTTAATCAACGTATGGGGAACAAGAGTTCGTCTAAAGACTTGCAGATTCCTCTTATCAAATAGCCACAGCTCTGTGCCTGCACATGGGGCATGAATTCTTCCTCATAAGCCATTGTTTGATGCACTCGAAGTGATAGTCATGTCCGCAATCCAGCTTCCCAAGAAGATCCCCTTCAGCATACTCATCCTGGGAAGGCAAAAACAGGAAAGAAAATGTAAAGATGAGAAGAGAACCAATGGCAAAAAACGTAAATAAATATTAAGAAATTAATGTCAACAATCCACATAAATAAAGAATTCAGTGGCTCTTACCTGGCAGATACTGCATGCCCTGTGTTCCTCTGCCTCGGCAGGATGATAGGTTTTCCGGTTCAGACGTGCCATAATTGTGTCCTCTGTTAATCCATTTTCAACGACTTGGATTTGCTCTACCTCATTTGCAATGATCTCGAATTGCTCTCCCAGGGCAATTAGTTCCTGAACAAAAATATTGTTAGTTGTAATCAAATCTTACTAAACAAATGACAAACCCTATGCTAAGTCATATTTTTCTCTAACCTACATTTAGAAAATTAGTACCCTTCACTTTCATTAAATCTAAGTAAATGCGAATTAATTGCCATAAATTTTTCTAATTTTACCTCACAATTCATATAATCAACATTAAGAAACATATCTTGGTACACATATCAGGGTATACCAGGAAACATTGATGAAGTACCAAAAATATTAACAATGATGAAGTTCTAAAACTGCCATCGGTTCAGAATAAAAATTAGATTTTTGATACAGACATGTCCTTTTAGGCCGGATAAATTATTACCTAAACTTTGTTTACAAAAACATCTATGTATGAGTTATTCAACAAGAACTTTTGGGATAGTTCGAAGAACAGTTTCAGACAAGAAAACTACCCATCTATAGTTTGTGCCTGCCTACTGCCATAAATCAGTATAACATTCTTTACCATAAGAGTGAAAACTATAATAACAGGAATAATTTACTGGATTTAAGAAAAATAGGAAATTGAGTACAAACACATGAATTTTTTTTTTTTTTTTTTTTTGGTTTGCTGTTCCAAAAAAATGAATGAAAATCAGCTTAGACCTTACCCGAAAATGTTCACCATCCACCCTTCTGAAATTGTCCGAGGCTTCACGAACCAATTATGGCAAAAATAGAGAGATTAAAGTCTCTGATTAAAGATAGTTGAGGGACTGATAATATCATTAAGTAAAATAGGAACTGGAAAAGGGAATAATAATGTGTCTTTGTATAATCAGCTGGGATTGCTCAAAAAATTTCCAATCTGCAATCAAATCTTGCCTTTTCCCTTAGAAACACTGTACTAAAAAGAAACCACAGCAACTTGTTCTTAAAGGTCAGAAAATGGCTTTGAACTTATCTAAGACCACATAAAAATTAGTTTTAAAGTCCTAGTACTAGTAGTATGTGGAAAACTAATGGCAAGTTAAAGAAGTCATTACCTATGAAAACTAATTCTCCAAAATTACCAATTCATAGTCAAGCAGATTATTCCCATTAAATTGTCACAAATCAGTATATATTGTATCACAAATTTCAGAATTTATACGAAGACATTGTCCAACACAGCCCTTATTTCTTTTTTAAGTTCTGCATCACAAGGTTTGAGGAACAAACTTGTTTTGAAGAATTACTTCAGATGACAATGTAACTGCTCAGATGACATAGTGCAGAAATTGTATGGTGAAGACACCAACACAAAGCAGGTTAGGGAAAATGTATATTATTGGACAAAGGCTTCAACTTCTCATACTTGGAAATTATACCTGAAAATTATGTAATTATATTCAAAACTTTTTTTTTTTTGAAATGCAAAAAAATAATTTTATATTCTAATCTTATTTAAAATTAGTAGATTTAAAAATGACACCGACTACACGAATATTCGAATATATTTAGTATTGGCACCAACTACGTGAATATTCGAATATACTTGGAATATGCTTCAAGTGTATAAGGAAGGTAATCCAAAAAAAGATAAGGTTTTTTTTCCTATAAATTACCGTCTTCTAAAGCCTTAGGATGTGTGATTACCCATTGGGTGATACACCAACCTTACTAGAGTTTTATCCCCTTTGATACTCCTTTCCCTTTCCCAAAGTTCCCAATTAGTCTTCTTCATGCCTCAAGAATTCATATAGAGCTTTAAAGTGATTTGAAGAAGACTAAGGTAAGACTATGTCCGGTTTTATTCTTTCCCATTTCTTTATACATCTTCCTTTATAATTATGTCTCTTTTGAGTTTTCAATACTAAGTTCCCTTTTAAATTTACCCATATTTTTTTTTTTTTTAACATCGAGAAATTATGGGAAAAGAAGAATTTTTTCAAATGGTCGGTGAAAGTCGAACTCCCAACTAATTCAACTCACACTTAACCTTGGAATGAACAACTAGGCCCGGAGGCCTAGTTCCCCATAATTTTTAATCTTAAAACAAGCAACCACCAAAAAGAAAATTTCTTTCATGTGTCGTAAAGTATAAAACATAAGGTTCTTTGTGGGTGATGCTCTTATGTGTTGGCTTTTAGTAATTCTAGAATAATTTTAGATTTGTTACTTTTCTAAAAATATATTTTGACAGTAATTTCTTAGAAATCAAGTTCTTAACAAAATAATAAAGTTAGAGAGATGATTGTCTAATGAGTGTACCTCATTTATTAATCTTCTTCTTCTTTCAACAGTAGCTGGAGATCGAATGCGAGGGGAAGGTCCTCTAACAGGTCGTCTTGCAACTCTTTGACCCGTCTGAGAAGAGCTGGCATGACCATGTCCGACATTGGATACTCCCCACATTTGATTCGCAGCAACTTGAGAAGAGCTGGCATGACCACGTCCGACATTGGAAACTCCCTCCATTTGATTCGCACCAACTTGAGAAGAGCTGGCATGACCACGTCTGACGTTGGAAACTTCCCCATTTGATTTGCAACAACATGAAAACGATGCATGTGCGGGTTGGCCCAATTTGTCTGGGGAAATGTTGAAGAAGAATCTGCATGAAGACCTGCTGCAATAATTCCTACAGCATGTGCCATGCTTCCATCTCCAGGAAAGGCCATGTTCATATTGCTTTGCCTATTCTCCAAATACCGTTGTTCAAATACTGGAGTCATGACTTCAGGAGGATTTATTATATAACTTGCTCTATCCAAGTTCTGCTACCGATGAAAACCACCAAACATGGTTGCCCCATTCAATTGCAAAAAGTTAATGCCCTGAGCAATTGGCTCGTTTATGTGGGTTGCATATAATGGTGCTATTGCTGAACTTGCATTAGGTAATTTTCATAGGGGAAGTAGGGTGTTGCTTGGTTGCGCTGTTGCACGTTGAGACTGTTTAAAGGCCAAGCTGGTGTATAACCTTGCAATTCATGTGTTCTTCTAGAACGGACATTTCTATGAAAATTCTCTAAGAGTTCGGCCAAGGAATTTAGATTTGTATTCAAGTTCAAGGCTTCATATTGGTTGAAGCTGCCTCTGGCATTTCCTTGTTCAAAAATTCTACCTTGCTGAGCAGAGCTTGAACTACTACCCAAGGACATCTGTCTAGAAGCATATGCCGATGCACTTCTCTGCAATAAAAATTTCTGCCATCTGCTGCAGCATCTTCATATCGTGTTGTCCTTGAAGTTGGCCCAACATGGTCAAAAGGAATGTAAGCAGATAAAGCACTCAAGTCAATGCTACCCAGTAGAGCACCGGAAGTACTAGCCCCTTGTAATGTTGATGGGCCACGTGAGAACTGATGGATTGTTGAGCTCGTGCCTCCATCAAACCTTTGAGAAGTTGAGCCTTGATGAATCGGTGGACAAAGCAGCCCTTCTTGAGTTAAAATATCCACAAAATTGAATCGGCCTGTTTCCTGATTTAAATCAAGTTGACCAAGTGGGTCTTGTTGAGGATCAGATGCTTCCATCAACTGAATCAAGTTGAGAATTTGAGGGCCGGATCCATTGTTGTAGTAGTAATAATTTTGCCAGAAGGGACTGGACCTGCTTCCTTCCTCCGGCATTTTTTCCAAGAAAAACGACCTGAAACAATGAACTATATTAGTACTAGCAATGACACTTGTCTTTTGTATTAATCAAGATTTATAATAACAAAGATGTATTCTCCGATTTCATCAATATCTCTTCTTCCCTCTATTTTCAACTTTTCTATATGCTATCTACCATTTTCTTCTTCTTGGAAGATTTAAGCATATCCAACCTCAATCCCAACTGAACTCTTTACTTTAGCCTAGACAGTCTCAATCATTTACCTCAGTATTCCTCATACATATACATTTGGTTGAAAGCCATATGTGAACAAATAATTTCTTCATGTACAAGAAAATTTAAAACAGGACAAAGTCACACAGGTCTGTCAATAGTATCAAAGGCAAACACAGTTTAGGAAAAGTGTGACATAAAAGAATGTTAAAGAATGTATGATAAATTCCTAGATGGTGAAATCAAACCCATCTCAGGACACACAACATCATAGAATCACCCCATAAAACAAACAAAGATCAAAAGAACCCACTAATCTCACACAAATAGGTATAACAATAGCAAGAGAAGGGTCTAAGGACTATACCTCAAAAAGAGATAGAGAAACGAACTGAATCAAACAAGAAACTAAAGAGGCAATGACTGGAAAACAAGACACTCTTTGAAAATTATGAGCTTGTGTGAAAAAATAACACTAGAGATGGTGCAATTTATAGGGCAAATGTGTGGGCTAGAGTTAAGGAATATTTATGGGTTTTAGAGGGTAGTTTCCATTTGATGGAATTGAATCATTATTGCATTTGTGTAAGAATGGGCAGTTATGGTAATATTGATTAATGGTGAGCTGTTGACCAATTGGATGCCCTGCGCTAGAATACCCTCCCTTGACTAAGCCCTATGTCAATCTTCTCCTTTTTCCCTCACCAAAACCTCTTCCTTTTATGGTTTCTCCTCTAAATATCTCGATTTGTATGGAAAGAAACACTGCCATCTCTGTGAGCGTCCATTTCTTTCTTTGCCTTTCAGTGCTTTTTCCCCCCTAATTCTCTAACAAGTTCTTATCTGGTCTCTTTCAAACTTTAATTAATATAAAACAGTTTTTTTATTTTTAAATTTTTATTTTTTTCATATAATTTTTTGAATTTTATTTTCCTTCAATTTTATTTATTTTCCTTTACCTTGTTTTTACTAATTTCTTTGTGTAAATATCTATACATACATTCTTATCTGTTTTTTCTTAACGACAAAGAAAACCAAGTTTGTCATCTAGAAAACAAAGTTTGTCATCTTCTTAATTTTCTTTTCTTTTTTTGGTCAATTTAATTTTTTTTGTTTACAGTAGGCTGACTGTTATGCCATTTATGATTAAAACTAGTACTATTTTTCTTCTTTTCTACTTCCTGCAATCAAATTTAGTTGTCTCTCTTTATCTATTCATGATTTTCAAAAAAATTCATTTATTACAATAATTAAAATTTATCTTTCCATTTTCATCCTTATAATTAAAAAAATTCTAACGCATTTCTATTTCTTCGGAGATAAGTATAAAATTAAAACATTAGCGGTTAATACTTTATTAAAATGAAAAGTAGGATAATTAAATAAGACAACCTTAATTTAGAAAATGAGACCATTAAATTTGAAGAGAGTAATTTTTTTAAGGACCATGATTTATGCACCCCTGGTTCAACATCCAACGGGTATACACTGCAAAAACCAAAAAATTTTAAAAGTAAAATTACAAATTTACCTTCTGACTAAACCATTTCTCAAATGACAACCAAAACAAATCCCAACAAAACTCAATCAAGCATTCAAGCACCAAATCCATCATTACCCTAATCATCTGCAAGACAATTGGTAGCCGTACCAAACTCCCACCTTCTCCCTCTTTTTTTTTTTTTTTTTCATTTTTTAGCCCTCCAGCAAAACCCAGATGGAGAACCCAATTTGGGTTCTCCAAATGGAGAGAAAAAAAGAGGAAGAAGGAAAAAGGAAGAAGATAATGAATGTGTTAGAAGAGGAAGATGGAGAGACAAGAAGAAAAAGGGGTATTGTGAGGAAGATGACTTTTAAAGTTAAATTTATAATTTTATTCTTATAATTATTTGGTTTTATAGAGTGTGCACCCCCGGGTGTTGAATCGGGGGGTGCACAAAACATTTTCCTTTTTTTAAATAAATAAGCAAGAGGCACAATGCTTACATCGTTATTAATTACATAGTTCTTACACGACTAATAAGTTTTTATTAGTCATTGTAATGATATTTCATTCATTTGATTTTGATTGTACTTATTTATTATTTTCATAGGTTGGTCTAATTAATAAAGAAGGATTAATTGAACGCTAACTAATAATTTTTAGTTAATCATAATAAACACTGATAGTGTTTCTTCTTTTAGTAAATCTTTATATTCAAATTCATTATTTTCGTTAGTTGTATAATGGTATTTCAGTTGATCAACTTATTATATATAGTTACAAAGCTATAATTGTGCTTGTTATTGCAATTAAATTATTATAAATTAGTTTGTTGTTTCAATTAGTTGTTATAACGGTATTTAAGTTGATAAACTTATTGCATATAGTCTTAATGATTGTGTTTATAGCTAATTTGCTATAATTTATTTCATTATATCCGTTAGTCATTTATAATTGCATTTGAGTTGATTATGCTAAATTTATTTAGTCATTTTTTAGCCATTGTTATTAGTTAATTACTTAATTACTATTTTTCTTTTTCTTTTTTTTTTTCTTTTTTTTTTTTGTACTAAACTCTCGGTACTTAAAAATCACATTAGACCCCACTAATTCAAAATTAAATAAAATCAGACCTCAAAAGGTGAAAAGTTTTTTAATATCTATTTTTTCATTCATAATACTTAAATTTAAAATTTTTTTTTTTCCACTTAAACTAATAGATAGGTTGTTGATATTATTGTTTTTCTTAATCATGTTGCATTGATCCCCTTTTATGTTCCATATTGTACTGATTTCAATTAGGAAACAAAAGAGTTACTAAGTTTCATTATCAATGATTAATTAATTCTTCTATCCTTTCACTTACAATAACAACGAAACAAATCTGTCATTTAGGTAGTACGACATCAAATATTACCATCACTTTTTTTTTTCATTTTTTCTTTGCTCTACGCCATTGTTTTTGTTACGTTTCCTTGGCCAAGAATTCTTTTTTTTTTTTTTTTGGCCGACAGCACATGGTGCAAATTTGAAACACGCAAAAGCCAAGCATTGCTCTACATTATTACTCAAAATTTTCAAGGTAAAAATAGGATACAAATATCTCGCCGTAACATCATCAAATTTTGTTAATATTAATTCTAATTGAAGCTTTTTTCTACATTTATTATCGTAAAAGCCAATCTGAGTTTTATTGTTAAAATATCCATTGTATTGTTTTCCTTCATTTATTGTTGTAGAAAAAAAAAACTAACATTTTTCTTAAATTAACGCTTGTAAAACCCAATCCAACTTTTTCCCTTAAATTAGCTGCTAACTATCTATGGGCAATAACACTTTCTTAGATTCTTTCGCTTAGATATGAATATAAACACTCACAAATATTCTTCACCAAATCTCATCCTTACCAGTACCGAAAGAATCCAAACATGTGAACCTTCCATTAAACATCCTCTGTTACTGAAGCATTTAGGTGCAATTTGCAAACCTAAGTTTTTTCCCCTTATGTTAGCCTTGAAAGTATTCAATTCTATAACAATAAACAATGAGACTCTATTAAATTTTTTATTTACACTCACAGTATTCATAATTAATCACCAAATCTTTTACCCATGCACCACCCAAATGAATCTGAACATTTGATGCTTCAACAAAATTGAATGCATTTTTGGTTTCCATTTATATAGGTTTTAAGTTTTTATTTTGACTTGAAATTAGTTTTTATTAGTTGGACTTAAAAAATTAAGAAGAAAAAAATTCAAAATTTATATTATTTTAATAAAATACCATAAGAAAAGATTAAAATAAATTTATTCTTATTTTAAAAATAGACTATTTAGTCCTGATGAATTAATAATAACTATAAATGTGCTCCCATGTCTTGGATCTCCAATATGGACTAATTTCATTTTAAATTTGACTAATTGAGTAGCTAACAAACAATTTACCGTTTTATTGAACTTACACAAGATATAAAGAAAAAAGGATTCGCAGAGGGAAGCCATATCAGACAAATTAACAGACCTTAACGGTGAAAGTTAACTGGAGGGTTAATCTGTCACAATCACGAAGATTAGGGGTTTATTTGCTGATTTTTCGGTTTGGGGGCTTATCTGGTAAATGGAATAAGTTAGGGGACTTAAGGAATGGTTTTGCCAAACTGAAAAGACTTCATAGTTACAAACTTACTAATTGGGTCGTCCTATAAAAACTTCTTGGGCCTTTTCCTTTTTATTGGGCTCTACTTGGAAAGGACAAAAACCCTCCTTGGGCCTTGGGCATTCGGCCCTTGGCATTACTACCCAGCAGGAAATTTATTTTCAGACGCCAGAAGTGATCCGAACCAAACGACTGAATAACGAAGATAGGCCGAAGAAAAAACACAAGGAAGCTGCCGAACTGCCACGTGGAAAGGAGCCTAAAGTGGAAATGGAAACAGTAGTGTGTGCCAGAAATGGAAACAGAGGTGAAGCAGTCGCTGGCGAGAAGGGAGACTTTGAGCTTCGCCGGTTGGAAGATGGATAATGACTCCACCGCCCGTCTTGTCCGCCATGCTTACAGCCTCAAAGAAGTCAATTAAGGTAGGATGTTTGACTTGAAAACTAGCAATACTTTTGTGTTTTGAGTTTTGATTAGCACAAAGTACAAGAATCATCTACACTTTTGGAGGATTTAGAGTTGAAATATGATGTGCAAATTTTTTAATCGGTGTGTTCTAACTTCTAACATATGAATGTAAATTGTCAATGAAATCTCTGGTGTAGTGGTCGCCCACAACAAAGGCTGTGAGTTTGAGTTCAGTCTTATGCAGGGTTTATGCAGCATTTTCTAGTTTTCCTTATTCTTGTCTTTTCTTTTAATTTCATGTGCTTTGATCATGGTGGTTTTTTGCACCGTGTGGGAAATGGATGTTATCTGTAGATTATCCACATAAAAAAATTGGAGGCTGTCTAAATCACATCACTGTGTGCTACATGAGTTATCAATTTGGATACTTTTTTTTTTTGGCTGTCATCAATTTTGATATGTTGGATTTTCATTTTCTAAATATACCAACTATAGTAATCGTAATTTCAGTTCAAGTTGCCATTGGCATTGCCAGGTGTGTGAGCAACTTGACATCAACTTCCTTACGGGGCATGACAGGGATCACATACAAAGGTGTTGTTCAATTGGTATATGGTGCTGTTTTACTTCAGAACACGCAGAATTTGTTAACAGCATCTTATGCGTTCGGTGAGTGTGCTAAGTCTGCTCCTCTTTGTTCAGTATTTTGTCTCAGAAGATGAACCCAGATATCCTTTTTTTTATATTAATCATTTAGATCTATGTCCTTGATTACATTTTGCTTTCTCAGTGAACCTAATTTCTTTGTCTTTTTTGTTTCATCATTGATTTTGTAACAGATTTCAAGAGCTAATTCCTTGAAACACCTGAATGTTGGGGGTACATTTATCACAGATGAATCATTACAGGCCATTGCAGATTGCTGTCCACTTCTAAAGGCAAGTTCTCTGTAAATGCACCCCTTTTGCTGAAATAGTGTTCTTTCTCGCCTTTACACTTTGATTCTTAAATAAGCCAAAATTTCCAGTCTTTTCCTTTATATTGAAAGTAAATGCTGCTGCTCTCTCACCAGAAGTATTGTCCTTTGGAGCTGCTGTCATGTTACTGACAGTGGCACGTTTGACTCGGGAAACCTATCATTCTACCGTAGCTGGAACAGAGGAACACAGGGCATGCAGTATCTGCCAGGAAAGGGCCACTGAATTCTTTATTTATTTTTATTTTTATTTTTTATTTATGTGGATTGTGGACATTAATTTCTTGATCCTTTTACGTGCTTTGCCATTGTCTTCTCTTCTCATCTTTACATTTTTCTTTCCTGTTTTTGCAGGATGAGTATGCTGAAGGAGATCTTCTTGGGAAGCTGGATTGCGGGCACGACTATCATTTCGAGTGCATCAAACAATGGCTTTCGAGGAAGAATTCATGCCCCATGAGCAGGCGCAGAGCTCTGGCAGTTTGATAAGAGGAATCTGCAGGTCTTTTAAACGAACTCTTGTTCCCCATACGTTGATTTACTCGAGTTTGTGGCATTTACAAGAAGCCCGCTTTCAGTAACAAGACGCCAGCTCCAAAGTACGCTACTCTGGTCAGATAATGCCAGCAAAAATAAATTAGAAAAGCTACATTTTTTAACATCAATGAGAAAATTGCCATCTCCATTCTACTTCTTCCATTTTTTGAATCTCTTTATATACAATATGTTTCATTAAATGTTAATACTTTCAACTAAATGAATGGAGAATTGCATATGCTACACAAGCACTTTGATCATGAATCAATAGTCTTGCATTACAAGGTTTACAACCAATGCAATTGAATGGGGCAACCATATTTGGTGGTTTTCACCGGGAGCATAACCTAGACAACAACCAATATTTGAACTGGGATATTTGGACAACAACCAAAGGAACATGCACATGGCCTTTCCTGGAAGCATGGCACATGTTACGGAAAGTTTTACAGCGGTTCTTCATGCGCCTTCTTCTTCCAGTCATTGTCATCTAATGCATAGTTTTCATGCTGCTGCGAATCAAATGGAAGGTGTTTCCAATGTTGGATGTGGTCATGCCAGCCCTTCTCAGGCAGGGCAAAGAACGGAAAATCTGATTGTGAATGGCTTGGAGTCACAGAGTAATTACCACCCAATGCACAGCTTTCATGCTGCTGTGATCAAATGGAAGGTCTTTCCAATACCAGACATGGTCATGCCAGCTCTTCTCAGGCAGGGCAAAGAATTGTGAGACGAGGTACTAGGGGAAATTCCTGTCCCATCTGACTTCCAACTGCTGCTGAAAGGAGAAGAAGATTTATAAATGAGGTACCCTCATTAGACTATTATCTCTCTAACTTTATTATTTTCTTGATATAAATTTATTTCTAAGAAATGACTGTCAATATATTTTCAGAAAGCCAACAAATCTACAATTATTCTAGAACTGCTACGAGCCAACATGGGAGAATCTGCCTCAAAGAGCCTTATGTTTTATATACTATCAAAAACACAAAAAGGCATGATGCAGGAAGATGGATAAATAAATGGGAAAGAATGAAACTGTAGAGTCTTACCTTAGTCTTCTTCAACTCACTTTAAAGCTCCATCTGAAATCCTGAGGCATGTTGAAAGACTAATTGGGGACTTAGGGACAGGGAAACGGGTATCAAAGAGGATAGGACTCTAATAAGGTGGGGGATCACCTAATGGCTGAGCACACATGTTAGGCCTTAAGAACACAATATTTTATAGTAGAGAAATCCTATCTTTTTCAAAGTTGCTTTCCTTATAAGCTTGGAGCATATAACTAGTATATTCGAATATTCGTGTAGCTGGTGTCAATACCGAGTATATTCGAATATTCGCGTAGCTGGTGTCAATACCGAGTATATTCGAATATTCGCGTAGCTGGTATCAATACCAAGTATATTCGAATATTCGCATGGTTGGTGCCATTACCAAATGTACTAATTTCAAAATATTTTAGAATATAATTACTTATTTTCCGGCATAATTTCCAAGTATGAGAAGTTGAAGCCTTTGTCCAGTAACGTACATTTTCCCTAACCCACTTTGTTTTTGTGTCTCCACTATATATTGTCTGCACTATGTCATCTAAGCTGTTGCATTGTCATCTAAAGTAATGTTTTAAAGCAAGCTTTTTTTCCTCAGACCTTGTGGTGCACCACCTTAAAGGAAATGAAGGCTGTGTTGGACAATATCTTCATCTATACATTCTGACATTTGTGATACAATATATACTAATTTCTGACAATTAATGTGAATAAGTTGCTTGATTATTATTGGTATTTTTAGGCAATTAGATTCCATAGGTAATGACTTCTTTAACTCGCCATTAGTTTTCCTCGTACAACTACCGGGACTTCAAATTAATTTTTAAATGGTCTTATAAATGAGTTCAAAGACATATTCTCACCTTATTTTTAAAAAATTGGAAAAAAAAAGTGTTCTAAAACTTCATCATTTTAATAAAATACTTTAAAAAAATATCAAAACAGTTTTATTCCTATTTTAAAATTTTAAAAATAAGATATTTAGTCTTTTTCATTACAAATTTATTAAAACTCTGTAATTTTTGGGTGTTTTTTATCTTAATTTTTTAGAGATTCAACTAATAAATACTTTTTCATTAAAATAATTACATATTTTCCAGTATAATTTTCAACTATGAGAAGTTGAAGCCTTTGTCCAATAATTTACATTTCCCCTAACCTACATTATGTTGGTGAATTTTTTAAAATTATTTGAAATTAGTATATTTGGAAATGGCATCTACTACACAAATATTCAAAAATACTCAGTATTAGCACCAACCACACAAATATTCGAATATATTGGGTATATGCTTTAGGCATATAAAGAAGATAACTCAAAAAAAGATAAGATTTCTCTCTTATAAATTACATTGGGTATCTTGGAGCATCCATGTGCGGCAACAGCAAATTTTCATTGACAAGATTCACCATGTGGTATTTATAGATCAAAAAGAACTGGGCCTCACGGTAGGCGCCAAATGTTAACACTAAAAAATAAAAAAGATTGTGTGGAACCAAGAATTTTATTGATAAAGAGAAGAGAGAGTTTACAAAGGAGAGAAAGTGGAGAAAATAATCACTCTTGTTGAGTTGATCCTTGAGATATTTATAAGATATTTACATAAATTTATCATAAAAATATAATTTTATTTGATTGGTGTTTGAGTATTTTAATTGTAATGGGATTTAATATATTTAATCTTGATATGATTATTTTTAAGATGTCTCCACGTGTTATAATTTTCACAAGACTCAATTTAGAGTATAACATTTACCTCCAATGAAAAAGTTTGAGAGTAACAAAAATGTGTAGATAAGGATATGAATTTCACTATTTTTTCTATTTAAGGATGCACACTTTACATGTTTTAAATAATGTGATAAACTTTTAAGTTTTTTTTATTTAATAATACCAATTTTGCATTTTTTTCTATTTAAATATTAATTGAATGGTGATGTTGACATGAAAAACAACTATTTTAACCATCTAATTAATTCTTCAATAGAAAAAAATACAAAGTTAACCTTTTTAAATAGAAAAAATTAAAAATTTATTATCTTATTTAGAAACTAGCAAAATTTACATACTTAAATAAAAAAATTGGCAAAGTTCATATCATTTTGTTGTAAATACCTATAGACACATTCTTATCTGTTTTTTCTTAACTAAAAAGAAAACAAAGTTTGTCATCTTCTTAATTTTCTTTTCTTTTTTTGGGTCAATTTATTTTTTTTTAATTTATATTAAAAAGTATATATTAGTAGTCTAGCTGTTAATGCCATTTATGATTAAAACTAGTACTATTTTTTCTTCTTTCTAATTTTTTTAAATAAATAAGCAAGAGGCATGAAGCTTACACCGTTCATACCTTGAACAATAAGTTTCTATTAGTCGTCATAACAATATTTCATTCAATTGATTTGGTTGTATTTATCTATTATTTTCATAGGTTGATCTAATTAATAAACAATGACTGAGTGCTAGCTAATAAGTTTTAGTTAATCATAATAAACAATGTAAGTGTTTTTTTATCTATTCTAAAACATTATTTTAGTTAGTTGTTATAACGGTATTTCAGTTAATCAACTTATTATATATAGTTATTAAGCTATGATTGTGTTTGCCAATGCAATTAGATTGTTATAAATTAGTTCGTTATTTATTTCAATTAGTTATTATAACA